TTTTTCTTTTGAATAAACCTTCTGAAAAGGCAGTGATAAAAACATCTATTTTAATAGGTATGGTAAATAATAGCCAGATTATCTACAATATTGTAAATATATGTGTCAAAAATTCCTAAAAGCTTTACAACATGAAATAAGACACCTCCCAACCCAAATAGTTTCCATTCAACATGGATACAAAATTCACAATTTTGCCCAAAATTCATTTCTTTCTTTCTAGCGATCTATTTTTTCATATTCTGAAATTTTGGGACTCCAAAAATATTTCATAAACTGATTTGTAAAATCCCCTTCAGCTTGAAATCTGTGTTCAAAAGTCACAGAAAAACAGAAGCCTTTCTGGAAATTTAAGCTTGTGGAGAGAAAATATATGTATTAGAATAAATCTCATACGTATTTCATATGCAAATCCACACTTGATCCACCAATAATACTAGCAACACTTTGCCCCTGCTCTCAGATGCAGTATGATTGGATTTTGTACCCTTAATATTCCCAAACTTTGCATCTGATCAGGAAAGGAGAAGCTGAGGTACAGGAGCGGTAGGGTTGAACAGACAATGGCCAAGATAATTCAACAGTGGAAAACACTCTAAAAGTGAGCTTTTCCAGTTGTATTATTCCTGTCATTATAAGCTCGTCCTTTTCTCCATTCCATAACATTTATTGGGATGTTGTAATTTTGAGGCTACCAGCTAGTCAAGTTTACACTAGGATTATGGGTGGCCAGGGGGAAAACAGCAAGAGTAATGATTAAAGTATTATTGGTTGTTGTTGTCATGATGTAGCACATGACTCATGGCCTACTTTTTATTTGGGTCCCACAACATTCTCAGAGCAACACAAACTCTTATCATCTCTACACTTTGACTAATGGGAGGGAAAAAAAAGTAAATAGGACAACTACATATAAAAACTATTCATTAAAACAGCCTCATCACAAGCAGGCACATAAAAGTAAGCCATGTAAATTAACTTCAACACAATGTGTAACACCTATGTCTATTCCTCCCCCGTCCCCCATGCTTTATGTATGCAAAATACATTTCAGTTAAATGTGGGAGAATCTAAAAAGATTCCAGTTCTATACCTGTGTGAATTACCCATAGCATGGAGATCCTCACCAGGCTGCCAGATCTTTCTCTCCACATAGAGTGCCTTTCATCTCTTTTTTGTGTTTTCTTTCTAACTAGGCAGGGAAAGGCCTCCTATCCTGAAGCCATGCACACATACAAATATCTGATTCTCCTTAATGGATGCATGCACCACAAATAGTGCTTATGAAAATATAAACCTTCATATTATAATTTAGGACTAAAAAATTGGAAGTGTAAGTTATGACTAAGGAAAAAACACAACAACCATCAGTAATACTGGAAACTAAGCATCTTTCTAGGTCTGTAATTGGTTTCTTACCTGAGTAATTAAAAACTTTGTTATTCGTTCTGGCAACCTGCCTTTTTCACTTGACAAGATCATCTCGAGCATGTCTCCATGGAGCTTTTCCATAACAACAAACACTCTTTCTGGTGTCTCGAACATACACTCCAAATTTACAACCCCAGGGTGATGCAGGTTCTATCGAAGATAAATATAGCACTTGAATCAAATGAGTTTTTTCCAGTACTGATTACTGGGCTTTATCACTCTACAGTCGTCAAGTGAGTGCTGAGACCCCAGGCAGACTGGCCATCACTCTAAGGTTATGAGACTAATATAGAGCTTGTTTGGTCTGGGGAACTAGACATAAAAACTTTCAGAAGCTGTTTTCTATGTAGGGTAACAGAAATGGTAGCAATGCCAGGCTGGGTGAATTTAAAATCTGTTCAACAATCATGGTATTTTCTTCTTTGTTCATGGGTTAAAATCACAGAGAAAAGTTGTCTTAATACAATATAACAAGAGTTAAAGTAAAATATTTTAAAGCACAATACATATTGCATAATATTCTGTACTAAACAAACTATACAAGTAAACAGACATACCCTAGGCATATTTTCAAGCCCTACTATTTTTCTTCACTCAAATATAAAAACTTTAAACCCAGGTTTTTCCACCATTAGGATTGAATTGCTGCCCTCTAAAATACAGATTACTTTCTCTAGTAGCCTGGCAGAATGCATGATGTCTAAGACCATTTTCTGGTACTGTAAAGTCAATCAAGAACAGGGCTCCATTGCTGTGGGCTCTGAACACATATTACATAGTATTCCTGTGAAAAGGTTTGTACTTGCTCATTTTAATGATAATGTAATGGTCTACCAAAAGGAGTACACACAGTGTCCTCTGGGCTATGTAATGTGTAGACTAATGTTACAACAGCCTTATTTGCTCTAAGAAATGCTGCCTCAGTGAAGAAGTCAAACTAAAAAACAAAAGCAAAGCAACAAAATTTCTAGTTTTGTTCTTGGAAGTTGGGAAGATTTCATTGATGACAGTGTGTGCCAGAAAGGACAAGAAAACAGACCTTACGATGACAGGCTGAGAGCTATGGGG